TACAGGAAAGTGGGTGCAGGAGGGAAGAGGAGCGATTGGTGAATGATGATGTAAAGAGAGTAGTAAGGGAGAAAAAGTTAGCATATGAGAAGTTTTACAAAGTAGAAGTGATGCAAGGAGGGAAGAGTTATGGAGAAAAAGAGAGAAGTTAAGAGAGTGGTGAAGCAATGTAAAAAGAGAGCAAATGAGAGAGTGGGTGAGATGTTTATCAACAAATTTTGTTGAAAATAAGAAAAAGTTTTGGAGTGAGATTAACAAGTTAAGAAACCCTAGAGAACAAATGGATTTGTCAGTTAAAAATAGGAGAGGAGGAGTTATTAAATGGAGAGTTAGAGGTATTGGGAAGATGGAAGGAATATTTTGAGGAATTGTTAAATGTTGATGAAGATAGGGAAGCTGTGGTTTCGTGTATAGGGCAAGGAGGAATAACATCTTTTAGGAGTGAGGAAGAGCCAGTGTGAGTGTGGGGAAGTTCGTGAGGCAGTAGGGTAAAATGAAAGGGGGTAAGGCAGCCGGGATTGATGGGATAAAGATAGAAATGTTAAAAGCAGGTGGGGATATAGTTTTGGAGTGGTTGGTGCAATTTATTTAATAAATGTATGGAAGAGGGTAAGGTTTCCTAGGGATTGGCAGAGAGCATGCATAGTTCCTTTGTATAAAGGCAAAGGGGATAAAAGAGAGTGCAAAAATTATAGGGGGGTAAGTCTGTTGAGTGTACCCGGTAAAGTGTATGGTAGAGTTATAATTGAAAGAATTAAGAGTAAGACGGAGAATAGGATAGCAGATGAACAAGGAGGCTTTAGGAAAGGTAGGGGGTGTGTGGACCAGGTGTTTACAGTGAAACATATAAGTGAACAGTATTTAGATAAGGCTAAAGAGGTCTTTGTGGCATTTATGGATTTGGAAAAGGCGTATGACAGGGTGGATAGGGGGGCAATGTGGCAGATGTTGCAAGTGTATGGTGTAGGAGGTAGGTTACTGAAAGCAGTGAAGAGTTTTTACGAGGATAGTGAGGCTCAAGTTAGAGTATGTAGGAAAGAGGGAAATTTTTCCCAGTAAAAGTAGGCCTTAGACAAGGATGTGTGATGTCACCGTGGTTGTTTAATATATTTATAGATGGGGTTGTAAGAGAAGTAAATGCGAGGGTCTTGGCAAGAGGCGTGGAGTTAAAAGATAAAGAATCACACACAAAGTGGGAGTTGTCACAGCTGCTCTTTGCTGATGACACTGTGCTCTTGGGAGATTCTGAAGAGAAGTTGCAGAGATTGGTGGATGAATTTGGTAGGGTGTGCATAAGAAGAAAATTAAAGGTGAATACAGGAAAGAGTAAGGTTATGAGGATAACAAAAAGATTAGGTGATGAAAGATTGAATATCAGATTGGAGGGAGAGAGTATGGAGGAGGTGAACGTATTCAGATATTTGGGAGTGGACGTGTCAGCGGATGGGTCTATGAAAGATGAGGTGAATCATAGAATTGATGAGGGAAAAAGAGTGAGTGGTGCACTTAGGAGTCTGTGGAGACAAAGAACTTTGTCCTTGGAGGCAAAGAGGGGAATGTATGAGAGTATAGTTTTACCAACGCTCTTATATGGGTGTGAAGCGTGGGTGATGAATGTTGCAGCGAGGAGAAGGCTGGAGGCAGTGGAGATGTCATGTCTGAGGGCAATGTGTGGTGTGAATATAATGCAGAGAATTCGTAGTTTGGAAGTTAGGAGGAGGTGCGGGATTACCAAAACTGTTGTCCAGAGGGCTGAGGAAGGGTTGTTGAGGTGGTTCGGACATGTAGAGAGAATGGAGCGAAACAGAATGACTTCAAGAGTGTATCAGTCTGTAGTGGAAGGAAGGCGGGGTAGGGGTCGGCCTAGGAAGGGTTGGAGGGAGGGGGTAAAGGAGGTTTTGTGTGCGAGGGGCTTGGACTTCCAGCAGGCATGCGTGAGCGTGTTTGATAGGAGTGAATGGAGACAAATGGTTTTTAATACTTGACGTGCTTGTTGGAGTGTGAGCAAAGTAACATTTATGAAGGGATTCAGGGAAACCGGCAGGCCGGACTTGAGTCCTGGAGATGGGAAGTACAGTGCCTGCACTCTGAAGGAGGGGTGTTAATGTTGCAGTTTAAAAACTGTAGTGTAAAGCACCCTTCTGGCAAGACAGTGATGGAGTGAATGATGGTGAAGTTTTTCTTTTTCGGGCCACCCTGCCTTGGTGGGAATCGGCCGGTGTGATAAAAAAAAAAAAAAAAAAAATAATAATAATAATAATAATAATAATAATAATAATGATGATGATGATAATGATAATAGTAATAATAATAATAATAATAATAATAATAATAATAATAATAATAATAATAATAATAGTAATAATAATAATAATAATAATAATATCTTTATTTCTAGAAGTACATGTACAATATAAACAGATCTAGGTGACATCAATGACATACTGCTATATAGAAATCCCCTTGTTATATAAAGCATTTAGGGCAAATTATGTCAGTTTTGTTCCAGGATGCGACCCACATCGGTCGACTAACACCCAGGTACCCATTTTACTGATAGGTGAACATGGTGAGCAGGTGTCTTATGGAAACACTTCTTAATGTTTTCCAGTCATACCGTGGGATCGATCCCCGGACCTCAGTGTGTGAGCTGAGTGTTCTAGCGATCGAGCTACGGGACAACTAAGGTTGCACTTCAGCTTTATGTGTCTCTGATTAGATCTTATCTAGATTATATTGTTCAGTTCTGGTCTCCATATTTCAGAATGGACATAAATGAGCTGGAAATATACAGAGAATGATGACAACGTTGATTTAACGTATTAGAAACCTTTCCTACGAAGATAGATTAAAGTCACTGATCTAGCTCCACCAGACAAAGCACCACCTACCCAGCAACACAGGAGTCACATGATCTCATCGTCTACCTGTCGTCTCAACGTGTCATTCTTCAGGTCACCATGCGTCACTCACACCTCACTCTCTGCTTATATATACTGTCTTTCAACCTCTGTATGTTAGAAGTGATTAAGTTCTCAGGACTGAAACGTTTTCTAGTAAATATGTCCTAGTACCCTTGGCTGTCTTTAAGAAGGCACTGGACAGGCAACTAAAGTTAGTACCTGACCAACCTGGCTGTGATTCGTACGTCAGCTTGCGTGCAGCCAGTAGTAACAGCCTGGTTGATCAGACCCTGATCCACCGTGAGGCCTGGTCTCAGACCCAGCCGCGGGGGCGTTGACCCCCTAAACCCTTTCCAGGTAGTGTTTGCTTACGTGTTTTTTTCTAAACCACAGCTAGTGGTAGACACAGCTGTGTGGAAGGCAATGGAATAGCATGAGTACTTGTAACAATAGTAACTGCAGCCCAGACCTTCCATCACCTCCTAACTTTCCTAAAATGTCTAAGCCCTTTTTTCTCAAATATAATATGGTATATTGTTCCCTGTTTCAAGGCGGCAGCAACTGAAGGGTTGGGAGAACCTTCTGCTTTACTAGCCTTGCTTCAACAATCTAAATAATAGTAGATAGTCCTCGGTCGAGATAATACTAGATGGTTCTTCTTAATAGATAACCTCAGTGTGGAGTTCATAGTTTTCTGCTGACTGCCTCTCCCATGTTCTCCATATGTACTCTCTCTCTCTCTCTCTCTCTCTCCTCTCTCTCTCTCTCTCTCTCTCTCTCTCTCTCTCTCTCTCTCTCTCTCTCTCTCTCCTACTACTAACAAAACAAACAAGGTACACACACGGTATATTACCAGGTGGTCGTTAATTAGTAAAGGTGAGGTGGGTGTCTTGGGTGTAGCAACCAGTGCAGGACACTATTGTACACTTCACGTCCCCCTGGTGTCTATCTCTGGCACAGGTCGCAGGTAGTGCACATCTCTGGCACAGGTCGCAGGTAGTGCACATCTCTGGCACAGGTCGCAGGTAGTGCACATCTCTGGCACAGGTCGCAGGTAGTGCACATCTCTGGCACAGGTCGCAGGTACCTGGAGTTTACCTGGAGAGAGTTCCGGGGGTCAACGCCCCCGCGGCCCGGTCTGTGACCAGGCCTCCTTAGGTCAGTGTCCCAGGATGCGACCCACACCAGTCGACTAACACCCAGGTACCCATTTTACTGATGGGGAACATAGACAACAGGTGGAAAGAAACACGTCCAATGTTTCTACTCTGGCTGGGAATCGAACCCAGGCCCTCACCGTGTGAAGCGAGAGCGTTAACCACCAGGCCACCAGGTCGCAGGTAGTGCACATCTCTGGCACAGGTCGCAGGTAGTACACATCACCATCTTCCTTACACACCAGACGCAATAAAAAAAATGCAAATTTTCACTTTAATATCTTCTTGCATATTATATTGGTTAATTATAATGATCTTGGGGTTTAATGGCCTCTCCTGCCAACTCTAATCGTAGCGTTGTTTATGTCATTAGTACCATCCCCTTCTCCCTCTTAGGAACAAAACTGTAAACAATTTGGTATATTTTAAATCTTGACCAGTGTTTCTTCTCACACATAAACACCGAAAATGGGAAGGTTGTGGATTTAGCTTGTGTGAGCTTATATAACTACATGCTCGTAATTACCTTATTTGAGTTTTCCGGTAGAATTGAACTCGAGCTTTCGGTCCTGCCTCTGACTTTTTGTAGGTCACTCCTCACCATCTCCAATCATAACACTGCCTGCGTGTCTAGTTCTGTCACTATAATCTCCAGTCTGGGTATCTACAGGATCAAGTAACCTGTGGAGAATCACAGCCTCCAGCGTATCAAACTTCCAGAACTACTTCTCTGTACTGTATAAAATTTCTAAAATAATGCTCTGAACTTCCGACTGACTGACATGACTGAATCTTGTCGTATCTAATTATGAACCGTTGTATGGAGTTTACTGTATGTGTTTGCTTAATGTGTGTGTGTGTGTGTGTGTGTGTGTGTTGTGTATGTGTGTGGGTGCGCTTGTTATGAAGTGGATAATAATAACATTTCTTCTTGCAGGGTTTGTCATTGTGGCCGCCTGCGTTATGACTTTCGAGGCCCGAGACAGCGCAGCCAAGATCGTGCCAGCCAGGTTCCGCAAGACATTCCCAGAGCGGAAGAGCAACGAGGAAGACTCCGGCATGAGGAACTCCGCGTGCCAGACCAAGTGGGAGACGCTAGGACTCTACGGATCAGAGTTGATGCGGCAGCAGAATGGCCGTGAGCTCTCCCGCCGTGCTATGACCTTTGCTTTCATTCAGTTCTCCAAGAACCTGCAAACCAGCATGGACTCAGCCGCCGAGTACTACGACTCCCGTGGCTCCCGTCCTCAACTGGTTAAGTGTCCATCTGCGCCGTCCCTCGTGCGTCCCTTCCAGCAGGGGGAGCGCCGGGTAAATGAACCTCCCCGGGTACTGAAGGTGTCCGCGAGGCCTGCTCATCCCCCTCAGAGCCCACAAGGTCGTCTCACCCCAAACAGTCTGCCACGTCAGGCCATGTCCATGGACAACCCTGCAGTGCGAGATGTTTATAACACCTATAATTCGTTCATTGGTGAGCGTGGAGACGAAGACTTGGAACTGGGCGCCTCAGCCACGGGTGTGCATCAGGCAGGCAGCGAGGCATCTCTGGCCATGGACCTCCACTTGCCACAGTGCTCAGTAACTTTGGCTGTCCGGGATCAAAGTCGCTCACCCAGCAACACACGCACAGACTTCGAGGAACCGTCGGCATCCAGCCCGTTACTCGAACCAGATTTGGAGGCCGCTGGACCCTCAGGTCTGTCTTGCATCAAGGTGGACAAACAGACCTCCACGTCTGACCACTTGGCGCTCAACCTGCTAGGAATATCTCGGGAGACCTGGGAATCCCGAGACATAACGGGAATGTCTAGTCGGGCGACCAGTGGAGGCTCCTTCCGCGAGGCACGACGCCCGCGGTCCTCACGTCGCGTTCGTCGCAGCGAGACCATTGACACAGCCACGGCTGCAGTCCGACGCATACAACAGCGGCATTATTCGCAGTCCTCCGGGTCTGGCAGGCACGGATCGGTACGCAGTGGGTCCAGTCGCAGTGCAGCAGCTGAGGCTCGCAGGCTGCAGAACACTCGAAGTGAAACAGCGCGACGTCACCAGTTCCTCCGACAACAGAAGATTGAGAACGGCGAGTCACACGATGACGTCGTTACCCGCGGACACTTCGATGTCTAGTGTCCTACGAAAGAATGATGTCAATCATAACACCTTGACTTGTAAAGATCTCTCTGCTTATATATATATATATATATATATATATATATATATATATATATATATATAATATTATATAATATTATATAATATATTATAATATATATAAAAATATATAATGCAAAACAACCACCTGAAAGAATGAGAAATTCCAAGCGCTTTCGTGACTACTCACATTAATGTGAGTAGTCACGAAAGCGCTTGGAATTTCTCAATTCTTTCAGAGTGGTTTGTTTTGCATATTCTGAAATCACCTGTTTTACGTGATCTTATTGCATATAATATATATATATATATATATATATATATATATATATATATATATATATATATATATATATATATATATATATATATATATATATATATACATACATACATGAAATAAGATTACAGTAAACAGGTGATATAATATGCAGAACAACCATTGAACTTCCAAGCGCTTTCGTGATTTCATACATTATCAAGGAACGGTCAAACTGGAAAAAGTCTTGAACTAAGATTACACCAACAACATAAATATAGTATTAGAATTGGACATGAGTTTAATGCTCTGCTTATTCATGTGAGAGATTTGAACCTTTCAACTGATTTTTCAAAAGGTCGAGAAAGTTGTATCAAACAAGGTCGTGCTTGAGACAAATATAATCAAATTAAGTTCCATAAAAAATAGTTTTGAATTTAATATGAATATTGGTTTAGGATTATACAAATTAGATTCATTAATAATTAATAAAATTTGGGAAGAATTTAAGATATATTCGACAAGTTGTCTTAAAACTTGGGAAGAATATAAGTTATGTTTGACAGGTCTTTGACCTGATTAGGATGATGTGTAATCTCTCCCCTATATGCCTTCTACTGTTCCTTTATTTTTACAGTTCCTTGACAATGTGAGAAATCACGAAAGTGCTTGTTCAGTGCTCACCTCCCTTCAGGGGAATATTTGTAAAGTGAGAAATGCACGGCAGTTAACACAAGTCTCGGGTTCAACACATCTTTGGTTCAGCTGCGAAGATAATCAGGCAATTCGGCCTCATAATAAAAGCGCTTATTGTATAACTCAGTACTTAGTGTGTTTCCGAACGATCCACATCGTCACTGCTGCATGTGACGCCGCCGCTGTTATATCCACATTTAATATTCCCATTCAGGGTCGATTTAAAGTCTGCTAGACTGCTTTTAATTTGGTTACGTCGATTCACTTGAATTCTCGTAATTAACAAAAAAAAAAAAAAAAAAAAAAAAAAAAAGCTAAATGGCTTAATTATTACAAAAACTGAGGATGTTATCTTGCGGTAACAGCGGCCAGATAGACACCAACGACACACTGTCGTGACCAGGTAGACACCAACTGTTGTGACCAGGTAGACACCAGCAACACACTGTCGTGACCAGGTAGACACCAGCAACACACTGTCGTGACCAGGTAGACACCAGCAACACACTGTCGTGACCAGGTAGACACCAGCAACACACTGTCGTGACCAGGTAGACACACAACACACTGTTGACCAGAGACACAGCAACACACTGTCGTGACCAGGTAGACACCAGCAACACACTGTCGTGACCAGGTAGACACCAGCAACACACTGTCGTGACCAGGTAGACACCAGCAACACACTCGTGACCAGGTAGACACCAGCAACACACTGTCGTGACCAGGTAGACACCAACGACATAATGTCGTGGCTAAACAAGTTATTATGAGGACACTATGTTGTGGCGAGATAACTTGTCAGTCGTTGCCACTCAATACCTGCTAAATATAGCGGGAAAAGATGCCTTGCTCTCACCAAGTTTATTGTAGTGATATATTGAAAAAAATATATATATATTTTTAGGTCTATTATAAAAGCAGTCCGTGAAGGAAGTTTTGGCCTCCTTCACTGTGTGAAATGTTTGAGAGGCAAGACTTGACGCGTGATATGGGCTAAATGCGCTGTGTGGAGACCAAGTTTTTATCTTTTATCTCTACACTATATTTCGCTCTACATAGAGCGATATCAAAGCTCTGTTTAGAGTGGAAAGATATTCATGAAGGTTACCGGTGTACGATAACGTACGAAAATTGGTAGTTTTTGCTTAGATGTTGTGTTCATGACTTCCGAACACACCGTTGTCTTGATACTGTGTTCATGACGGCTTCTGAATGCACTATTGTCTTAACATTGAGGACTTAACGTAGTAAAACTACGAAATATATCACCCAAAATACAGGCCCGGTGGCCTGGTGGCTAGAGCTCCCGCTTCACACACGGAGGGCCCTGGCTCAATTCCCGGTGCGTAGAAACATTTCGACGCGTTTCCTTACACCTGTTGTCCTGTTCACCTCACAATGTCCTGGGTTGCAACTGGTGGGGTCCATCTGGAGGGACAAGATTAAGGACCCCACTGGAAATAAGTTAGACAGTCCTCGATGACGCACTGACTTTGTTGGGTTATCCTGGGTGGCTAACCCTCCGGGGTTAAATATCCGAAGAAAATCTTATCTTATTAATACCCCTACTGGTACACCTGAGACTACCCACGGACACATTATTGTGACTATCCGAGGACACCAAACCTGGAAGTTAAAACAAGAGAAAATGCTTACCACATATATATAAATTACAATGTCAAGAACACTTTATGATGAACTTGGAAACCTTGAAAGCTGTCATTAGTGCGACACCTATTTAACCCATCATTTAATCCGTAATGATATCGGGCAGAACCTATTTTCCTGTAGCTTAAGATGCAAAATATAGAAATAGCGACTTCCATTGTTATGTCAAGAGGGGAGGGGAGAAGCGGCGTATTGGGGGCGGGTAGGCGGAGCGCGGAGAAATGGAGGGGGAATAGGGGGTAGGGCGAGGAGGGGGAGGGGGAGTAGAAATTCATAACAGATGAACCAGCAAATGATGTTTACTCCGGTGTTTTCCAGCAGTTGTTAAACTGAGTCATTAATATGGGCGCTACTTTCACTATGACATGTATCTTCCATCCCAGTCCTCCTTTCTTACTCTTTGTTTTTTTTATTATTATTGTATTTATTGTTATTTTTATTTTTATCATTATTATTATTTTTATAAGTTGTCCTTGAAGGTCAAACACAAACACTGGCAATTTATGTAACAGTGTGTAGAGGCAGTGAGGCAGTACAATGTACTAGTACGTAGAGGCAGTGAGGCAGTACAGTGTACTAGTACGTAGAGGCAGTGAGGCAGTACAATGTACTAGTACGTAGAGGCAGTGAGGCAGTACAGTGTACTAGTACATAGAGGCAGTGAGGCAGTACAATGTACTAGTACGTAGAGGCAGTGAGGCAGTACAATGTACTAGTACGTAGAGGCAGTGAGGCAGTGAGGCAGTATAGTGTACTAGTACGTAGAGGCAGTGAGGCAGTACAATGTACTAGTACGTAGAGGCAGTGAGGCAGTACAATGTACTAGTACGTAGAGGCAGTGAGGCAGTACAATGTACTAGTACGTAGAGGCAGTGAGGCAGTACAATGTACCAGTACGTAGAGGCAGTGAGGCAGTACAATGTACTAGAACGTTGTTGTTGTTTGTCCGTCGATTCGACGAGGACCATCTAGCCATCCTGGGGTCGAAGTTGGTGGGTACGCAGATGACTTGTCAGGCCAATCCGCGCACGAAACGTTCTCTGGCAGTGTGGACAGGGAAGGGTGGCGGCATCGAGGGGTCTGATGGCTCTGGTCTTCCTCGCCTGCCCGCGCTGCTCAGCTAGTGAGATTCTGCTTACCTGGCAGGATGTTGCCCCTTTCTGGACAACTGCTCGCCAGTCATTCCTGTCCTGAGCTATCAGCTCCCACATGGTGTGGTTGATGTTGAAAGCTTTCAGAGCAGTCTTATAGGTGTCCTTGTAGCTCTTCTTTTGGCCTTCTTGAGAGCGCTTTCCATGCTGCAGTTCGCCAAACAAGAGTTTCTTTGGCAGCCGGTGGTCTGGCATGCGAGCAACGTGACCTGCCCACGAAGCTGTGTCTGCATTAGGATGGTGTAGATGCTAGGCAGGCCAGCGTAGTCAGCATCTGTGTCTGAAATCTTATCTTGCCATTTGATGCCAAGAAATTTTCTGACGGTGTGGTGTGAAAGTGGATCCAACTTTCTGGCGTACGTTTGTAGACAGTCCAGGTTTCCAGCCATAGATGAAGTGGTGGTGAGGAACTATGGCTCTGTACACCTTGATCTTTGGTGCTTGTGGTGAGCCTCTTTCGGTTCCATACATTCTTGGGGAGCCTGCCGAAGGTGGCATGGCTTGGCAAGTCTGGCATTCACCTCATCATCGATGACAACGTTTCTGGAAAGGGTACTGCCGAGGTAGGTGAATTTGTCTACGGCGTTCAGTCGCTGCCCGTTTGATGGTGATTTTGGCTCAACATACATCTTTCCCGGAGCAGGCTGGTGCATCACTTCAGTCTTTGTTGTACTGATTGTCAGCCCGAAGTTGTTGCAGGCGTCAGAGAACTTGTCAACACTGTGCTGCATGGCGGCTTCTGAAGCAGCGTTGAGGCGCAGTCATCAGCAAATAGCAGGTCATTGATGGTGTCAGTTGCAGCCTTGGTTTTTGCTTGAAGCCTCCTGAGGTTGAAGACAGACCCATCTGTACGGTACCTGATGCTGATTCCTGCGTCTGTGTCCCTGAATGCGTCTGTAAGCATGGCCGAGAACATCAGGCTGAACAGGGTGGGAGCAAGCACGCAGCCTTGTTTCACTCCATTTGAGACTGGGAATGGTTTAGACGTCTCTCCGTTGTCTTGGACTCTGGCCAGCATTCCATTGTGAAGTTGGCGTACGATGGCGATGAACGTCTTTGGGCAGCCGTACTTCGCCATGATTCTCCAAAGGCCCTCTCTACTAACGGTGTCGAAGGCCTTGGTCAGATTGACGTAGGTGGAGTACAAGTCGGCGTTCTGTTCTGTACGTAGAGGCAGTGAGGCAGCACAATGTACTAGTACGTAGAGGTAGTGAGGCAGTACAA